CTCCCTCCCTCTCTCCGATCTCACTACCTCACTCCATCACTGCCTCTCTCCGATCTCCATCATTGGCTCTCATCTCTCTTCTCTGAAGCCCTCTCCCATCTCTCTTCTCTGAAGCCCTCTCTTTTCTCTCCATCACCGTCGAACGCCATCATTCTTTATCATCAGAGTTTTGTCGCTTCTGTCGCCTCACCAACACTAGCGTGAGATCTTCGTCCATTTGAGCTCAGATCTGTTTGATAAAGATGAAGAAAATGATCTATTTTTGTTGAATGCGTTAGATTTATTTTTATTTTTCTATTTTTTACATTTGATGAATATATATGCTCTCAGATTTGTTGATAATGTTGTTGTTGTTGATCAGATTTGATATGTTTCTGTTGAAGAAAATGATCTATTTTTGTTGAATGCGTTAGATTTTTTTTATTTTTTATTTTTATGTTGAAGAGAATGATCTGTTTCTGTTGAAGAAAGTGATCTATTTATGTTGTTCATGTTGTTTTTGTTGTTTTTTTTTTTGTTTTGGCCGAGAAATGTTCGGGGTCGGGGAAACCCGATCCCCGTTAGGGGATGAGGGTGGGGGCGGTGATAGGCTTCCTGTCGGGATTGGGATTGGGAACGGGAAAATTTCTATCGTTGGGGATCGAGGACGGGGAGTATGATCCCCGGCCTGTTGCCATTCCTAGGTGAACTCCACAGACCCGATTAGAAATTTGTCCATTTTTAATATTTCCCACAATATATATATATATATATAGATAAAGTGCTTACTTGCTTAAGGCTCATACCCTTCTTTTCTTTTTTTTTCTTTTTTTTTTTGTGATTTTGCCCTTTGATTTGGAATTATTTACTATTAGAGGCTTGGATTTTAGTTTTTCCATTTCACCCTTTTATTTTGTGTTATTTACCAATATTGGTAATACTAATTTGAATAAAAGTTTTTTCATAATTATGTAAAGATTCTTGGTTAGTTATGAAATATAAATATTTTGATTTTGAGTAAATTACAATATACCCCTAAGTTCTTTTTTTTTCCTTCATATTTTGCCATTTTATTTTGTATAATTTACTAATGGTAACCCACAATTTGACTTGTGACATCCCAAATTTTTGGAACATCAAGGGAAATTAAATAGACAAAATGACTTAATAAATCAAAAAGTTGACATCTTAATTGGACATTCCAACTCTCGTATATAACCAAAGGTTTTATCAACAATAAATAAAAACTTAAAATTATCCAAATACAACATCAAATGAAATTATAAAGTCCTTAATAACTATTATATAAAATAATAAAATTTATTCGGTTCTAATCAAGGTTTCAAGTTAGCCAAGGCTCTACGTTAGCGTCAACTCCATTTTAGCTTCAATTATTTCCTCGCCAAAACCTGACATAAAACGCCAGAGCAACAAAAATATATGCCATGAGTTTTGCAACACAGTAAGAAAACAAAACCAACCTACCATTCTTTTTAAGAGAAAAATAATGAGATATAAACATGAGATAACAATATAATTGTAAACATAAATTATAACCATTAAAATAATTTCAATAGTTCTAATAAATTAAGTGACACTTGAAATCTCACCAAAGATATTTAACTTACCAACTACTAAGCATGACAACCGTTAATTTGAAACCCCCCTTTGGTCAAATATTTAAGTGTTACCAACCATAACTACCAAGGATGCTCACGTCCGGAGTTATATACCCTAGTAGTGGCATCCGTGGTCTGCCCCAAGGAAACGTTCTGCTAGGGGTACGTAACCTTCCTGTGTACCACCTGCACATCCACCTTTATTCCAAAACCGAATACCGAAAAGGGTTCAAATAAGTCTCGTGCCATCTTAGGATTTCGCGACACAATTTACGTGAGAATTCTGAAAACCAAGGCTCACCCTAAACAACCGGTATTAACCATCAACTCTTACTTTCATACACTCTTTAAAACCAAGACTCGTCCTGAACTATTGGTATTAACCATCAATTGTTAACTTTGTATATGCCGTTAATCATTTCAGTTAGTTTTGATATTAACCACAAATAATTCCAATTTTTAATCACAAATAATATTATACCAACTCATTAAAATTCCCAACATAAAATATTACACATGTCACACAACAATAAATAATTGTACAAAATTTAAATAAACAATTTATTTAAACCGTTGTATGAAACAATAATTTTGATACAAAGATAATAAACCATAATCACACACATGTATGAATTTTTAATTTACAAGATTGGACTACCATAATATTAAATAAACCACAGTACACCCATACATGGATTACTAATTTACAATAATTTTTTTATCCAAATAATCAATTGAAGTAATGATTTTAAACCTATCCAGAAATTTTCAAGATGTACCTTAGGTAATAAAAATTATAAATAAATTATTTATACAATTCTGAAATTCATGAAAATATATATAATATTAAATAAACATGTTTAGGTCATTTTTCATAAAGAATTTCCCAAAAATAAGTTATAAATAATTCTGTAAAATTCCCAAAAATTTTATGACACGGATTTATCACATTTTCTTAAATTAATTCCATACTTAAATTCATAGATCAACTCCATAATCTGAAAATTTATTATGAAACTAGACTTCTCAAATTTCATCTTTTAGTTAGAAATTACTAGATTTGGCTAAATATAGAGTTTTTTTTTAATAAATTTTCAAACATATAGTGAAATTTGTCTTATAGTTTCAGATTTAATTAAAAATTTGTATAAATTCATACAAAGCTCAATAATTGTTGCAAAAATTCCTGGATGAACTAGACATCATTCTCAACAACTTTGTAGAAGAAATAATTTTCAAATTTTGAGTATAAAATTGTCTAAAAATTCATACAAATATTCTGGCAGATTTAAGGGCCAAATAAAATCTTCAATCCTCTCTTTAATGGTATAAACTACACATGCAAGCCTATTTTCACAATAATATCATGACTTTAAGACTATCAATATCTTTAAATATTTGATATACACATCACAAAATATATATACATATATATAAAAATTTCTATCTATAAGTTAGTCATTTTATCATATGAATATAATCTGAAAATTTCAACAATTAAAAAAAATGAAAGGGTTGAGAGGATTTTGTTACTTAACAATACGATGATGAAATGGTAGAAAATTTTAGCTTCCTTAACCTCCCACTCTTCTTCTAACCGTGCTCACAGAATGCCTTTGTTCTTTCTCTCCTCACTCAACTTCTTGATCTCAGATTTTCTTTTACCTCTCTAATCAAAGGAGTAGCATGCATATATATATATGCATAGATTACATGCTGAGCTCTCTCTCTCTCATCATGCTCTCACGTCCAATCCAATCTTCTAAATCCAAGAAGTATAATGAACTCTTCCTCCCTATATTAACATGCAAGCAAACAAGTGGTTGCCACCAAAAAAAAAAATCTGCAAAAGTTTTTTATTTATATATTTGTGTATTTGTGTGGGTTTTTTAAAATTGATACACTAAGATTTTTAACTAAGATATTTAGTAAGAATAATTTTCATGTTAAATCCTACTTAAAATAATTTATAAACAACAAATATTGAATATCCACAAAATTATTATTTTTAATAATGTCTTTGCTAGTGATTGAATTGGGTTAATTTAAAACTAACTTTTACACTAATATATATTTCAAATAAAATCAGGATAAAGTTAATTAATTAATTATTTATTATTATTATTATTATTATTATTATTATTATTATTATTATTTTGAATAATTAAATGCGGGTTTTCACATGACTTTTCCATTTTACCCTTTTCGTTGGTAATATTTAACAATATTGGTGGTACTAATTTGAGTGAAGGTTTTTTTTTTATAATAATGCAAAGATTCTTGGTCAGTTATGGCACATAAATATTTTGATTTTAGGTAAATTACAAATATACCTCTGCGATTTGTTTAAAATATGAAATGTCCCTACAATATTAGAAATTACAACTATTCCTTATTAGAATTTTTAATTTAACAGAATAAACAGAAAAAAATTTGTAAAAAAAAAATAATTTGAATAAAATATGAAAAAATTTATCAAAACAAATGAAAAATCGTCTAAAATAATTTTTTTAAAAATCAAACCAAACAAAATAATTTGTTATAAGATTTGCATTTTGAAAATATAAATTTATCAAAAGAATATGCCATGCCTTGCACGGATCTAAAAATAATTTTTTATAAATGAAACTAAATCAAAGTTTAATAGTAATACCATATCATCATTGGTGTGTGATATCACCATTTAATTATTCCATCTTAATAAATAAATAAATAAATTCACTCATTTGAACTAAAATTTTATCTCATCTATTTATTAAATAATTGTACTTTATAATAGAAATTAAAATTTCTATCATATATTTAATCATTGATCCTATTTAATTTTGTAAGAAATTGAGCTTATTTTTTAAAAAAAGTTCAAGTAGTGGAATGGAATGAAATGCAATTAATTATTTTATTTTTTTTATGGAATTATTATTATTTCTTTTATAATGTATTTTTTATTATTTTTTGAATGAATCAAATATAAAATAAATATTTTCAAAAAAATGTCATATTATTTCAATTTACTTAGCAAACTCAATAAAACATTAGAATCAAAGGTCATACAGGACTCATCTGGTAAGTAGTGATTTTAGTAAAAAAATTAAAAAATCATTAAAAAAATCAAAAAAACAAACAACTTATATAAAAAAGTCAAAAAAATTATTTTCTCCCTACTTTTTACATATTTTTTTTGTAAAAAATTATGACAAACATACTATATTTTTATATCATATTTTAACTAAAAAGTTAAAAAATTACTTTAAAAAATCTATTGCGAAACTAGGCCTAAGCTTGTGCTTTGGACCAGCTTTATATATATTTATATATATATAATCAATAATGATAGAGACTACTAATTTTGGAGTTCTAAAAAGATTACTAATGACATGACACTCAATAAAAAAAGAAAAAAAATACAACACCAAGACTAAAACATTAAATCATTCTTAATGAGGCCTACTGCTACATCATTAGTGATAGCACTAATTAGTGCTCTCACGCATTTTCCATATATAATACACGCACGGATCACGAGCTTGAAATCCCATAGTTGTACTACTAACAACCTTACCTAGGTGGTGTTTGGGAAGCCATATCCCAAATTTTTTTCTCATTTTTTCCACTAAAAGACAAAAGTTTTGCAAAATCAAAAAAAACACATCCAAACAAAATATCACATCCAACCCCATAATCATTTCACTTTTTCTTTCACAAACATCACATCCAACCACATAAAAACCCAACTATCTTCCCAAACACCAAAAATTTTTTATCTCATAAAAACCTACATCTACTAAAATCTACATAAAAACTCACTTCCCAAACACCATCCTAGTGGTAAAATCCATCTCCATCCATTCTCGAAGCTCTTCCTCATATATCATGTCTTCCCCAATCTCATTCTCATCATTCCCCATCTCCAATGTCGTCCCTGAATTACAACTCTGCATTTCACTCCTCTTTTCCATCTCCCCTGCATTGCTTTGGTGGTGCGAGTTTTGATTATTGGATTGGTAGTCTGAAATTGGGAAGTTGGTCTTGGCCTTGTCTCCCCGGAACTCCACGGCGGCTCTGTCGTAGGCCCTGGCGGCCTCCTCCGCCCTCTCGAACGTCCCCAGCCACACCCTGACCGCCCGCTTCGGGTCCCGAATCTCCGCCGCCCATTTCCCCCATGGCCTTTGCCTCACTCCCCTGTATTGGTTCTTCTTCTTCTTCCTCTTCTCTCCACCACCACCACTAGCAGTGGACACGGGATTTTTGAAACCGTCATTTCCACAAGTGATTGGCGCGAAATAGTCACATCCCAAACAACCGTTGATTTTGCATAATCGACACGTGTCGACATCAGGGATCGAGATGACATGGCAATTTTGGTCAACCTTGGTTCCACTCAAGGAAGCCAGGGACAATGACGTGGCAGGTTCGGCATTGGTGGTGGGACTGCCGGAGATGACGTGTTTGAGAGCCGAGACCATTATGAAAAGCTCCTGCTCTTGAGTCAAATGCAGGGGAGGAGGAGTACCGGTGGAGGACCCCTCGGCTCCATTTTCCAAATTTTGAGGTCTTTTGTAGAATTTATCCATTTTCAGAGGGGTGTTATTATAGAGAGAGAAAAAGTTTGGAAAGAGAGAGAGAGTAGATAAAACAGTGCTGTGTGTGTGTGTCAGCAACAACATTGTCAGGAGCTAGTGCCGAGGAATATATATATATATATATATGAGCATTCTTATTTCAATTGAAAAATTGGGTCGATGCCAGCTGGATCAGGTTCATACACGGGCACGTGTGTACGAATGTAACCTTCCCACGAAGTGAGGTGGACTGGGGCCTACTATTGTACGAGGATGACAATGACGAAAGTACGACGTGGGCAATCCCAGCTGGAGTTGAAAGCTCACGTTAGAGAGTGGATGAGGACACGCGGCTTCACAGGGACAACTGGGCCGTCAAATGGAAGTGGTGTCGTGGCTATAGACTATAGTTGGACATCACCAGCGCGCTCCTCGTAAGCCAGTCGCCGCGGCTCTGGTGGCACGGCTTACTACTAGGATCCTTTTAATACGTCATCCGTCTATTAAATTAGTGGATCCAAAAAAAATTAATTCATATCTGTTTGTCAGATTGATAGATATAGATTGAATGAATTGACAGAATGATGCGAATTAGTTTGACAGTTTAAATTTTTATAAATTTTAAACATAATACAACTTGTGAATATTTTTTTTGAATAACAATTCAACTTAACATAATCAAAAGATTATCAAATAAATTATCAAATATCAATAATAAGTACATGATAAATTATAGAAATGGCCCATATAGTTTACTCGTGTTTTCATTTAGGTCCTTGTACTTCTAATTGCATCAATTTTGCCCCTGTAGTTTTGTTTTTGGCTCAAAATGGTCCAATGGTTAACGGTGGTTAGACATTTAGATGGAAAAGTGGGCCAATTTTGACTTTCTTGAACAATTTTGACTTTCTTGAGTGTTTTTAGATCAATTCAATTTGTTCTCTCATATCATTACTGAAATTTAACTCATTTAATAGATGCTTTATTTAATTATTATTATTTTTTAAAATAAATTTATTTTAAATTTTAAGTAAAAAAATAACACATATTTTTATTGATATTTTATTTATTTAATTTTTAAAAATAAATTTAATTGTGTAAAAAATAAAATAAAATAAAATTTTATTTAATCTAAATAAAAATAATTAAAATATTAAAGATATGTTTATTATTGCTATTATTTAATAAACTATTAAAAAATGATAAAATAATTTTTTGGTCATTTATCCTATCCAGTCCGTCCAACCAAACGTTAAATTCACTAAAATAATCATTTTCAGACATCTAATCTCATAAAAAAAAAAAAATAAACAAAAAATATATACCCAATCTAATCAAAAAGTAAGAAAGATTCAGAGCGTTGGTGGTAGTGGATGATAGTGTAGGATTGTTCGAAGACTGGAGAGCTAAATGACAGGTGCAAGTTTAATATTTTATGCATTATTTTTTTGTTGATGTTATGTATTTATGTTAGTCAATCGATGGATGACTAATGATTTGACTAAGTTGTTACAATTTTTTTGTTTTTTTGTTTTGTTTTTGTTTCGTGTTTTTTTAATAAGAGAGGTTAGTGATTTCAAAGCATAAATGAGTCTTTATATGAGGGACTCCATATCCCTCCTATGAGGGACTAAACAATCCTAGCGGGGGATTATTTCCATAGGATTGGTATCTCATGGGACTAATATGTAAAATGTTTATTTTTAGTAAATTTAATGTATGGTTGGACGAACTGGATAAGGATAAATGTGCAAAAGACTATTTTATCATTTTTCAATTGTTTACTAAGTATTAGCAATATTAAACATATCTTTAATATTTTAATTATTTTTAGCTAGATTAAATAAAAATTTATTTTATTTTATTTTTTACACAATTAAATAAATTTATTTTTAAAAAATTAAATAAATAAAATATCAATAAAAAGTTAAATAAAATTATTTTATTTTTAAATTGAGACATTTAAATTTTATTGAATTTTACAAAATATAATACATAATTAAATAGTAGAGAGTCAAAATGATCATTTTACCACCTAATCCCAAGAGTGGATTGTCTCTCCAAAATTGTCTCACACCCCCAGGACACAATAGTCCCCCATATGGGGGATAAGGAGTCCGGCCGGACTCCATATCCGGCAGACTAAAAAAAAAACAAACAGCGAATTGAATACATCCTCTCAATTACAATCTACACAGTAAATAATCCCCTTTATCCCCCAATCAAACACACCCCAAAAGTAATAAAGAAGGAGGAAACTAACAGAAAAGGGTAAGAAACTAATGAAAATGCACAAAGGGATTGATAGGGTAGCATACACACAAACACACAAAAAAATACCCATCTCTCTCTCTCTCTCTCTCTCTCTCTCTCACACACACACACACGCACACACAACATGAATTATAAACAAGACAGAAACAAGCAACACATCTACGTGTTACCCACGAAATCTTGCTTCCCACAACCCAAGCCTGTCTACTCCAACTCTCTCTCTCTCTCTCTCTCTCCATGTAAGGGCATTGCCCTATTTTTTAACATAAGTGGCATGTTATGTGAAACAATGTCATTGCACTCTGAAACAACTCCTCATTTTGATGGTGTGTTATGTTGTTGAAAACCAAAATGACCTTTTTAAGTTCAGAAATTTGTAAGTTTTGGGAGTAAATAGTCAAATAGGTCAGATAAAAGATAAAAAGGTGCTAGTTTTCCTACCATTTCAAGCTGATTAATATTACAATCATATTGTATTTTAGTTATTAACGCTTGTTTTGAAAAGGAGGAAAAAAAACTAACTCATTGACTTTTTTAGTTTTATTGAAAAAATGTGTAAAAAAAAATAAAATTGATGTGATCTAAATAAGTCAATAAATTAATAAATTGACTTTTTTTTTATACTTCCCCAAATGGCCCTAAGTGATGTGCCATGGTTATATTCATTGAATAGATCCAATTAAAATGTAATAAGATAATATGATTATTGTAACATTATTATTTGAGGTTTATGGAATATATATATATATATATATATATATACTTGGATAAAAATATATTAAGACAAAAAAAATCATTACAAGAAGTAAAAAGAATAAAAATTTAGTTCGATTGCTCTATGATTTAACAAAATTTAGATAACCAAAAAAAAAAATAATAATAATAAAAAAATGAAAAAAAGAGTTGAACTTCAATTAGTTTAATAAAATCTTTATTTTTTAGTTTACCAATGCTATAAGAGGTAAAATTAATTTGGAGGGTTTTTGAGTGGGAGATTTGATCAAAACTTTGTCATAATAAAATTTTAATGTATCAGAAACAAATATAAAATTTTTTACATGAAAAGTCCAACACATACTACTATTATCAAAATATCCTTAGTGATTAATTTAATATTTTAAATTTTAAAATGATATAGCTTTTGATCTAAATATTGGTTTTAAATCACTTTACTTGTTTTTGGTTTTCCAAAAACACTTTTAAAAAAAATTTTATTTTCTTGTTTTCCGTATTTTTTTGTTTTTACTGAATTTTTTAAATATTTTAAATAGTTTTTTTAATTTTTAGACACACCTAATATAAATACACATAAAAAGTATAATTTTTGTGAAAAAAATCTTTTAAAAATTCACTAAATATCAAAAATACAAAAAAATATGGTTCTTTAATATATATTTCGTGTTTTTATGTATTCATTAATTTTTTAAAAATATTTTTTCACAATTTTTTTACTTTTTAGATACATCTAAGTAAGGTGTATCTAAAAAAGTAAAAAAAATACTTAAAATTTTAAAAATATTCACTAAAAACAAAAAAACGCAAAAAATAAAAAACTCAATTTTTAAAAAATTTAATCCAAAAAACTCAAACCAAACACACACATTAGTATTTTTAGAATTCTTTCATCAAGATCTATTAAATAAGATTCAGGTTGACTATGAAATTTTTTATAAAAAAAATTATTTGTTGAAATTGATGTAAACAGTAAATATTATTCTATTTGATAGTAGTATGCTATTCTGGTTGACAGTAACATTTTACTGCCTGTTCTGAATAGAATATCAATAACAAAAACAGAGTACGACCCTCTTTGTATATGAACTCACACTACTAGAAATTGAAACCCATACATACTCGTAGAATATTCAATCACAGCTTCAAAAATCCTTTTTGTGCTAATCGAAAATGGCACATCAATGGCACACTGTAGAATATCAATTTACATAGTCAATTTATATAATAAAGTTTGCATCTCTTTCTCTCCAATCATTGTTAATATCTGTGAGAAATCTGAAACTGATAATAAATTTAGAGCGATGAGGGATCCTATTGAGGGCTTCAACGGACTGCACTACCACGAACGATGGACTATGAATGGTTCCAATCATGGATTTTTTGCAAAAGCTCTTTTTGTATTCTTTTTTCTCTCCTCAATCATTGTCTTCTCTTTCTTCTCTCTTTTCGTTAATTTACTTTGCATTTCTTAGAGAGAAAGAGAGATCAATGAAGAAGTTTTGACTTCTCAAATATATATAAATGATAGGACAAAATTGCCCAAAGAAATATGGAAATATATTTGTCCAACTTGAGGAATTTAGGAAGTAAAACGTTTAAGCTGTCCTTTACACATTAATATGTTGGGTCTACGGTGTTTTGGTTAAATTAACCTTTTGGGTGACACTGTCACAAGCTCAGGATCACATAGATTTAATCTTCATCAATTACTTTTATTTTTTTAATTAAAAAAAGAAAAAGAAAAAAAGGTTGATGCTCTTAAATTTTTTCCCCTTAATTTATCCATAATGAGATGAGAGATTAGTTAGACGTCAACTTTTAATTTATCACAAATTTAACTATGTAAGATTCAACTCCCTTGCTATCCTTATTATGTAAATGAAAATGAATCATGAGTTTTAACATTCATCTTTAGAATTTGATAAGCTGATTCGTACCGGTTAAAATTAGTTGAATTTAGTATATTACTATAAAATAACTAAATTATTTAACCACCTATTTGACCCATTAAATTTTGGGATTTTTGGACAAAACGCCATCGTTTCTCACTATTTTGTATTAAAAAAACGACACTAATTAATTTTCACAAAAAAAAGTTTAAGGTAAATT